CAAAAAAACAAAAAAACCCTGGTGCTTGTATAGCCCTAAGTCCAAGTCGATTGGCTAGCACTAACTGTGAGCTGATTGGTCCGCACTTAGTTGTTCTGATTGGTCACTACCATGGACCAATTGGCAGGAGGTAGGGGCCTAATGGTAAGCTGATTGGTTGCTTTTCAATCCCAGCAGTGAGTATTTAAGCTCTAGCTTGCGGTTCTCAGAAAGTTTATTTACCGACGCTGAGCCTTGGGCACCTGCCTCAGAGTTCACTTCATTGTTACCAGAGGACCCACCTGTCTGCCTGCCTGTCCTTTCTCTAGCTATCTCCTGTCTCATCTACAATAAATCAGAAATTCGTTGGGCACGGTAGCCTGCATCTGTACTCCAGCTACTTGGAAAGCTGAGGCAGAAGGATCGTCTGAGCCCAGCAGGTCAAGGCTGCGGTGGCTTGACCGTGCTGCTGCACTCCAGCCTGGGTGACAAAGTGAGATTCTGATTAAAAAAAAAAAAAAAAATTCCTCCTGGAAAGGAGAATTCCACACAAGTATTACTTGCAAGTATTATACTAGGAAGGTGATTCTAGAGATTTAGAGTGAAAGCCCATACAGGACCGCAGTGGCTCACTTTGTGAGGCCCAGCATTTTGTGAGGCCGAAGCGGGAGGATTGCTTGAGTCCAAGAGTTTGAGCCTGGGCAACATAGCGAGATGTCATCTTTACAAAAAATTTAAAATATTAGCCAGGTGTGGTGGTGCATGTCTGTAGTCCCAGCTACAAGGGAGGCTGAGGCAGAAGGATGCTGAATCCAGGCGGTCAAGGCTGTGGTGAGCCGTGATCTTGCCACTGCACTGCCTCCAGCTGGGCAACAGAGTGAGACTCCCAACAAACAAATAAACAAATGAAACATAGGCCTTAGCAATAGAAATTGTTCTGCAGCTTCCTACCTGTGTGTCCTTGGCTAAGCTATTTAAACTCATAAAACTCAGTTTCCTCATTATACAATGGGAAATATAATAGTACCTCATATGTAGATTGGTGTGAGAATTAAATAAAGTAGCATACATAAAGTACCCAGCACTGTTCCTGTTATTTAGCAAATGCTCAAAAAACAATAACTTATGATAGGTAATGATATTTTTTCTTCCGATTTATTTATTTATTTTTATTTTAAAGATGTGGAGTACAATTCAGGTTAGGTATACAAATGTTCATTATACAGGTACCCTTGTTGATAAGGTGTGCCCCTCCCTCCCCTGGCAGTTTCCCTCAACTGCCAGTCCCACCCCGCTACTTTTTTTAAGCTTCTGAGTTTTCAACAATGAACATGGCCTCGGAATGCAGGTGTAACACTGTTCTTTATAGCACTGCTTGAAATAGAAAAAAATTAGAGACAATCTAAATATCCATCTACTGGAGAATGGGTAATGCATTTGTGATTATTCATAGCCAAAATACTAAAAACAACTAAAATGAATGAACTAAAGCTATAGGTATCAACATGAATTTAAAAAATTGAGAAAAAAGATGCAGAAAGTTATATGCCATTTGATAGCATATACATAATTTTTTTTTTTTTTTTTTTTTTTTAGTAAAAGCCTCACTGTCACCCAGGCTGGAGTGCAGTGGCACCCTCACAGCCACAGCAGCCTCAACCTGCTGGGCTCAGGCGATCCTTCCACCTCAGCCTTCCAAGTAGCTGGAACCACAGGAGCCCACCATCACACCTGGTGAATTTTTTGATTTATTGTAGAGACGAAGTCTCACCAAGCTAC